AGAAATAGCAATGAATGCAATTCTTGTATCTACTGTAGTTGATAATATATATAATATGAAAGCCATGATAGACAGTAATCTATGTCACTATGCAATGATAAAATCTTCAGTTGTAAGATATTATAACCTTCAGTGTATTCTCTTATCAAAACCTCAACTTCTTGCAGAATTTGATGATTCAAAAGACATTTGTATCTGTTACATAGTGAAACTAAATATAGATGTGAGAGAACATTAATATGAAGATGTCTATGCATATGAAGTTGATAATCTCAATTATAACCTTATATTAGAACTTGTCTGACTATCTGAATAAGATATGTTATTGAATACTTGAAACAGAAGCTTGATATTCTCTAACAATGATAGAATTCATGAAGATGATATTCACAAGATTATGAATCTGACACAGATCTCTGTCAACATATATGAAATGCTCTGAGAAAGAAGTCACTGATAGTAGAATTATATAACAATCTATTCTGTCAGTCTGATCACTATTAAAAAGGCTTTAGAAAAGTTATTCTATGTTATAATAACAGATTCTCATACAAAACTTTCTCAGTAATATCATCAATATCTAGATGTCTTTCAATAAGACAATATTATAAACATACTCTTCTTACAAGATTCTGAAGTGAATCACAGTATCAAGTTAAAGAAAAAGAATGATAAGAATTCTGAACTGTCATGAGACTCTCTTTATAACATGTTCTGAGATGAACTTCTTCTTCTTCAAAAGACACTCAATAATCTGATGAATAAAGAATTTATACACATTAGTAACTCTTCTGTCACAGCCTCTATTCTCTTTGCATAGAAATCAGATGAAGGACTCTGATTCTGTATAAATTATTGAGAATTGAACAGATTAACATAGAAAGATCATTATTCTTTATCTCTTATCAATGAAACTCTAGCTCACATTGAATAAGCTCAATAATTTACAAAGTTAGATATTATTACTGCATTTCATAAAATCTGCATTGTTGAAGAAGATAAGTAGCTTACAGTATTCTGAACATGATATAATCTCTTTAAATGAGTAGTCACACTCTTTAAACTGATCAATGTTCTCAGTACATTTCAGAAGTATATCAACAAAGTACTCTGAGACTTTCTTAATGAATTTGCATCTATATATCTAGATGACATTCTCATCTTCACTGATAAATTCAGAAAGAAAGATCAAGAGTATGTGTAAAGAGTATTACAATGACTATAAGAAGCAGAACTATCAATTGATATTAACAAGTGTAATTTCAAAGTCAAGAGTACTAAATACTTAGATTTCATCATAGAAGCTGATAAGAAAATCTGAATGAATTCTGAGAAGATCTCTGCTATTCTTGAATGAGAAGTCTCACACACTGTGAAAGATATACAAAGCTTCATCAGATTTACTAACTTCTATCAGTGATTTATACAAAACTTCTCAGATATTATGAGACTACTTACAGAACTCACTAAGAAAGACTCAGTATTTTAATAATCAGTAGATGCTGAAGCTGCATTTACATAGATGAAGAAGATATTCATTAATATCTCTCTGCTGATAATATTCAATTCTGATTGTAAGACAGTTATTGAAACTGATTTCTCTGACTATGTAATAGAAGAAGTGATATTGTAATATAATGATGAAGATATTCTATAATCATGTACTTTCATCTCTAAGAAACTGAGTTCTACTGAATGCAATTATGAGATCTATGATAAGAAACTTCTTATAATTATATACTGTTTAGAAGAATGAGACTCTGAACTCTGAAGTATCTTTAAATTTGAGATAGTCACAGATCATAAGAAGCTCAAATACTTTATAACTATCTGTAAACTCACTGAATAACAGATACAATAATCTGAGTTTCTAAGTCACTTTCATTTTATAATACACTACTGTTCTGACAGTCAGAACTTGATAACAGATGCTCTCTTATAATGAGAGTAAGATATATCATTCAATGTAACAGATACTCACTGAATGATTTGAGAGCATCAGCTCTTGAATCTGAAG